ACATCATCCAGTCAATTTTATTCCGTCTCAAACTGGAGCTAAATGCTGACAAAACTAAAGGGATGTTGTTTTCAAACAGGAAGTCAGTTCCAGCAGTCCTTCCTTTTATTTTATCTTCAAATGGTGTTTCGATTGAGTTTGTCAATTCTTATCAATTATAACTTGAGTATTTTGGTCAATTCACATTTCTCTTAAGCCTCAAAAATTTGGTAAATAAACTGAAAGTAAAATGGAGTTCTTTTTTCAGAAATAGATCCTGTTCAGCTCTGAACAAACACCTTGTAAATGCTACTTTCCTTCCCTCCATTGACTATGGTGACATTTACATGAACGCTCCTACAAGCACCCTGCAGATGTTGGATGCTGTCTATCATGGTGCACTAAGATTCATAACTGGGTGTAACTTCTGTACCCATCACTGCACCCTGGTTAACTGGTCATCATTCACTTCATGTAGACTCCCACACTGGTACATTTTCATCTTTAAATCTCTTCTTGGTCTGTTGCCTTCATATATCTCCACCTACATGTCACTATGTGAGCGCAGCTATAGCGTGTGCTCTCAGGATATCATTACCTGTAGTGTTCCCTCAGTGCGAACCGAACTAGGCAAAAGGGCCTTCTCTTACTCTCCTCCATTTTCCTGGAACACCTCTGCAAAAAGATCTGACGCTTTCAACCTTGACCTCTCATCATGAACTGACACATTTTAATATTGCAGCAAGAACTTCTTGTTCAAGTTTAGAAGAAGTTGGTTTCCAAAGATTTTTTAGTTCAATCTGGCTCTTTTGGGAGAGAGAATCTGTCCTGTTGTACTGAGCAGTCTTTCAATAAGGCCATGGGTGGAGCATATCTTCTGGGTGACTCTCTTGCAGTGGAATACATTTTGGGTGTCTTAGTGGTGCTGTGGGTGCACCCAGCTCAGTGACATATATACTAGAATATACGTCATTGGCCCAGTTCTTCTTGAAGGCGGGCCTAACGTTACCTGTCCACTTTGCAGTGATTCAATGGACCAGCTCCCCTCTCACCATTGGTTACTTTCAAAGTAACAAACAAATCAAAAAGCTGCAACATGAATGTAACTTGTAATGCAACACATTATAGAAATGTAGTGTAGTAGAAAGTACAGATACTTGATGTAAATTGTAGAGAAGTAAAAGTATAAAGTACCCACATTTAACTCTACTTAAGTAAAGTACAGATACATGAAAAATGTACTTGAGGTTCAATGGGACTAACCTGTATAAATAAATGTTGAATGAATGAAAACTATCTAATCAATCAATGGTTTAAAAATAAAGCTCTGTATAAAACTGTGTATGTAAATAAGACACACTTGTTTTCATTCTCTGCATAAAACCACCAGGATTAAGTATTCCGTTTTTTAGGGCTGAGGCACGGATTTACAAACCAGAGCAACATTTGAACAACATTCGCAGCTTTGACATCACAACAGTTTAAACACTATCAGTCTCCTGGGAGGCTGCGATGAATTACAGCCAAACATGTAAAGAGGAACTAAGCGTTTGATTCCCCCTGAGAACTCACATTACAGCACTAATAGTAGAAAAATGGAGGCTCGTGATGGTTTGCATGCATACAGCGAGTTGAACAATAAATCCTCGCCGCCGGCTGTTCCACACAGTTGCCTTGTTTCTGAGAGGACACTCAGCTCTCACCTCAAACTAAAAAAAACTTCATCTGCATAGAGATTTAGGAAAATCCACGCTGAGGAGAGAAAAACGAACAAGATGCTTCAACTTAGGTGACTCGAATGAAAGAGATTGTGTTCAGACGCTTCAGATTCGTCTCCGCTGTTGCACTGCCTCACGCGGCCTCTCACAGACCTCGGCCAATCTCTGGAAATGAGTCATACCGAGACGCAGGGGCGCCGGATCCCATGGCAAATCTTAAATCTACAAAACTGAGATTGAGCATTTGTCCTGTCTCCAACTGGAGTAATTATGATGTGATTGAGCGTGCATGAGAGTATGCCCCTTGATGCCACCTTTACATCTGTACTCAAAAGCATAAATGCATGTCCTCAACAAAGATAAACAATTTGTACTCTAGCTTTTAACAAGTGTGTGCATCCTTAACCAGCAACAGACTTGGTCCAAATAAAAGCAAACAAGTGTTTTGCCTAAGAAATTGTATTAACATTAATTTAACATTTGTTCTGATAGTCAGCTCTCACTAAAGTAGTGGATCCCCAACTTTTCTGCTTCTAACCCACAAACTAACTGCAGTGGAGACTCACAACCCAAACAAGTGTGGGTCGAAATGTAGAAACACTGCAAATAAGTCACTCAAACAAACATACAGTACTGACATCAAAAATAGCTTCAACAACAGTTTTATATATATATATATATATATATATATATATATATATATATATATAT